CTATGAAAAAGCTCACTTAAAATTTGTCAATTATCATTATAAAAATTATTGCTTCTTACAATAAGTAATAACAGATTAATAGCCCCATTCTATATATTTCAACTTTTTCATAACTTTTTCCGTAAAAAAAACACTTGTGACAAGAATTTGTCACTGATACAGAATAGAGCCGTACGCCTCAGCAAAAAAAAAAAAACACTGCCTATGTCCGGGAGTAACATCTCTAATATCAGACAACGGTTGAGAGAGCATTTTTTTTTTTTCTAGCGTAATTGTGCAAATTCATTCATGCATTTTGTTTTGCTGCTTTTATAATTATCGAGAGCGTGCATACTGTTCGCGCCATTTTTGTATGCAAAATATTTTGTTGAGCTTTTGCAGCGATTCGTATAGTCACAGCATATTTTACGTACATTTATTAAATTACATACTTGTTTTTCTTTAGTTTGCATGCAATTTGTCATTTTTATGAAGTTTATCAATTTAGAGAATGTAGATATCTATGTATGTAAACAAAATGGCTGACAGTTGACATTTGACGGTCGGCTGGTCGGCTGGTCGACGTGCGCACAGCACCAGCCTTTTCAAATTCAAGCGGGCCGATGAACTTGAGTTGTTCAGTAATAATTGCGCTGAAAAGTCCCAATGCCTTTAGTTTTGGTTCGTTTCTGAATTCGTTTTCTATATTTTTTATCAGAATTTAAACTTCATTCCAAAATTCGTCAGTTCTGACTCAACACCATTCATTCACTGGTAGCTCCACTTTGCATTGGCATTTTTTGTCTGTTCGTTTGATTGGCCTATGAAAAATTATATCGACTAAAAAATTTTTGCTATTTTGCAAATAAATATACCTGGGCGTGTGTTTGAGTTATTTGGGGCAATTAACAGCAGCAAAAAAATGCTTCTTTAAGCTAATTAGTCGTCGTTTTTTTTTTCAATTTTACACTGCAATTGCAAAATCTATACCGAAATACAAATCTACACACAAATGTTACAAGATAAATAACAATGCCGATCGGAATTTCAGAAGTTCTTGGTCTAAAGTTTGGTAAAAATACTGTGGCAAAATGTGGGCGAATATATATACATATATGCATACATATATACATATATATATATATATATATATGTCGTACAATCTGTTTTCTTAACTAGAATGCAGTTAAAAGGGGCTGAAGCTACACATTTGTACTCGTATGAATACACTAGGGTGAGACTTTTTTTTAATTTTTCACTTTTCTTAGATGAAATAAATATAAGTCTTGAGTTTATACGCTATGATTTGTTTTAAAGGGAAAATGGAAAAAGCAACAAAGTCTAAGCGGTAGAAGTTATAGCTGCTATTTCGTAGATCGTCCTCATCAGACTTCCTTACCTAGACTTGAGCAGGGATCGAACCCGCTTAAATTTTCTTATATAACCGACTCCAATGAAATTATTGTCATTTTTTGGAGAATACAATGTTCAAATTTTATCGAAGTGTATTATTTAACAACGTTTGTCATTCAAGTTGTTAATTGAAAGCTCTAAGAGACATGAATGGCCCGTTCTTATGCAGTACGGAGTTGTATCGTTTCTTGTGAATAGTAGCATATCTCTTTTTTTTTGTTATTATAAAGATTAGGTGAGCGCCTTCTTCGCCTGGAACACACCTCTTAGTCCGGTTTGTGGGATCATCACTGCTCACTGCTTAATGCTTCCTAATGTCGATCACATCTTGCGCCACTAAGTCTGTGACGCACAGTGGGCCGTGAGCCGATAAAAATATATTTGTGATATAGTTGTGTGATATATTTGTGAAAATTTAAAGTTCGAAAACTAAACCATTGGAGCCGCAGGGTTGAATAAAAAAAAAATATAAAGTCAATATTTGTTTAAAGTGGCAGAGGTCCGAAACGAATTTTAACGCGTTTTTTTGGTTAGGTTTGTATGGGAGTTGGGTTCTAATCAAGCATGGGCATCGCTGGAAGAACTCCATATGCAAATGCGAAAGTTTTGTCCATGACTGCTTTAAAATAAAACTATTATGCCAATTTTTCGTATTTTTCTTGATTCATGTATGTCCATAAAATTTGTATACAGCGATCGTCAAAGATATAGCACCAAAAATTCTCATTTAAAATTTAACTCAATTTATAACGGATATCACATAAATAAAAATTTCAAAGGTTGCCCAAATTTCACAAAAACTAATCCAACTTTAAAAAATTCACATCAAAATTTCAAACTTTTTAATCAGAATTCTTAAAAAAAAATTTCGGGAATTCAACTTTGTATCCCATTCAACTTGAATTTAATAAAAAGTTTCCGGTGGCTAAAAATTACCGTTCGTTTTTAAGAACTTTTTTTTGTCAAGGGTGTTACGCGTTTACTTTCATATTAAAATAGATTTTCTCCAATAATTCTGCTACGATATGTCTGATGAAGATTTGCGATTTACAGCGATTCATACAAAAATCTTTTCAAATGATTCTATTTCTAGTTATATGGTCGGAATAGTAATCAACCTACTTTGACATATTGCTGAATACTCCAGCTACGAGTATATCTAGAAAAACGCCACGCCTAAAGGCCCTATTTTCAAAAGCTCTACCACTAACCTTCGGCTCATTTTCTTCTCATATACATACATAAGCATGCTGGGCATTTGAGAATATCCCCTATTAGAGACGTTGGAATTTGAAGCGATAATTATAAGAGCAAGAATAAGGTTTTCATTTATGACTAATTTTGTGACTAAAGCAATAAGAGTTGATATGTATGTACTCTTAGCCCAATACTAATTTCATTGTAACGACTTATCTATCTTCCGGCTTCCGTTACTACCACACAAACGAACACTTAACCACTAAACCAATGCTACAAAACGCCGTAAATATCAACGCCCACCTAACAAATTTAGTATTTCGGCAGCTGCTTTTAAGCGCCAATCAGTGATTTATCAGAGCAGTTGAAAGCCAACAGCTGGATAAAACGTCATCAATGAAATGACAAAGGCGAAAAACTCAACCACGACAGTAGTTAGTAAAGGTTAAAAAAATAACAGTAAATAATGTGTATTTCCTCATATGAGCAAAAGGTAACAACGATGCGGATTTTTGTTTTTGTTGCATTAATTTTGCAAATAATAATGGCATTCAGGTTGACGTTTGGCGTTGGCGGCATTGTTTTTGACTCAGCAGGCGCCAGTCAAGTCAACCACAAAGCCTACTCACTCGCACACACACACATGCGAATACAGACAGTTATGTCATCGATGCCGTTTATAGCTCGTTTATCGTTTTTCTAGTAAAATGTATTCCCCCTTTTGCATTTTTTCACTATTTGCCATTTATTGCATTTGACGTGTTCGGGTTGGCATGTCTGAGTTGACAAACCATGAATGAAACTAAGTAGCCAACAATGGCAAGCACGTAGAAATAAGCAAAAACAAAAACAAAAACAACATTATCACTACTACTACTACAAGAACAAATACGACGCGACGGCGCTTGACGCTGAAACACCGGAAAAAACAAATCGAAATAGTTTTTATACCGCGCCGCCTTCCGCTGCACTACTTTGGAAAGTGAAGTGGAAGTGGAATTGGTGTTGAGAGCGCGTTGGCGTATGGACGATGTACGGCGGGCGGTGGGCAGTGGGCAGTGGGCGGTGGGCGGTATGAGAGCAGCAGCATCAGTGACGCTACGTACGTAAAATGCAAACTCATGCGCCGCCATGCTGACGTCTCTTCATGCGCGTTATTTTGCATTGCAATAAATGCCACATTTTTTGCACATCTACGTCCATTTGTTATTGTTAATATTTACGCTTCGAGTTTTATTGCTATTGCTGCCTTGACTAATGCCCATTACTGTATACTCACATTTTACGGCAATAATCCCTTTCACTCCATCCATTATCAGCCACACTTCACCAGCCAGCCAAGCAATACGGCATACATTTTACTCATTTCCACTTTGCACTTGACAGCCCCAGCCCTTTTGCTACTGACGCTCATTAGCAAATTTATAAAAGTAGATATTCCCCACCCGCTTCCGCCCTAACCACCGATACCAGCTGCCCGACCAGGCGAGAAATATGCCGTAAATTGTTTTGACGTAAAACCAAAATGCCTCATATCGCTGCTGAATTGCTCTGGAGAGCAGCCAGTGGCCAGTGGGTGGCTAATAATTTGTATGGCAAGAATAGTAACGGAATGCCAACACCACAGTCTGCTTCTCCGTCACTGCCAAGTCGTTTGGCTGTTATTGTTATTCGTACGTCTAATGGAATGGGCAGAGAGTGCCGCTACTCTCTTCAATTGGGAATAAATTGAAGTGCATCCGAGCGCGTTCAAACGTCACAATGACAGACACTTTTTATATTGGCGCGCTTTTTCCTTTAATATCAATATTATTCTCGTCTGGCTGCTGAACGCGAATAAATATTTATCACACACAAATATTAGTAACTGTACTTGTAAACTATGTTTATAAGTATATGTAAATAGTAGAAAATTCACGTGAGCTTATGAATTGTACCTGTAGCCTGTCTACCTGATTGTAGGTTTGCTATCTTCCATACATAATAAGTATGAAATTATTTAATTTTTTGTTTTTATTTTCCCACAGCAGTTAACGCTGATGTAATGTGCGAGGTTTTTTGCGTTTGAATTTATTTAGGTGGAGAATTTCATCACAATCAACATAGTTACATATACCTTTGAAAATTGCAAATAATCCCTGTTACAAGTCAACAAAAGTTTGTCATGTGATTAATCTGATTTTCCCTTTGCTTGTTGAGATATAGTGTGCCTAAAAGCATATGTCATAATAATTTCTTTAAATCAACCCTTAGAATTGCATAAGAAAACCGAACTACGCTTGAAGAATTATTCAACCCTTCATCTAC